TTTCATTAAATAAAAAAACAATGAAATTAGTTATAATTATGATTATTTAATAATTATAATAAAAATCACATTGTACWATAAAACTAGGTAATATTCTAATTTTAAATTAATGTCCAGACTATTCATAAAGAATGTATAGTATAGTATGGTATACTAATAAATCCCCACCTTTTGCCCTTTGTTAAATTTATTTTTAAAATTATTAWTTGTATTAAATAATATATTTTTTAGGGGTTAATGATGGTTCTAAATCCAATTTTAATCATGGTAGTCCAGATAATGCAGATAATTTGGAAACATCAGAATATAATAAACAGACTGAAATTAGTAATATTCCACAAATTGAAATCCATGATTTATTAATATATTTATCATGTTTTATGCGTCTGGCAAATTTTAGTTCTGTAGAAATCAAATTAAATTTTTTGAATCATTATCCAATTCAATCAATATCTTTAAATGAAAAAAGTCTAGAATTCTTCAATAGCATTGAATATATTGTTTGGAATTTTTAAYCCTAGAATAAAAACAATCTAATTAAATGTACTTTACATTTTCAATTTTGATTCTAAAAATATCATTATATTTTGCATTTGCAAATTTTTTATTCCCACTTTGTTTTCCATAATTCTATCTCACCCTCGAGAGAATATGTATTGAAACTTATAAATGAGTAATGTTTCAGTAATGTTTCAACCAAAGTATTTTCAAGATCCTGAGAGATCTTTATGACATCAATTGGAACCAGTTGCATTAGTATGAAAATAGTTTTGTTTTTTTTCATTCAAGAACYGTGCTTTTAAATCTTCTATTGCATTTTCAAGAATAGGAATAAACAGTACACGTCTATAATATTCTTCAGGACAAGTTGCAGGTGTGTTGGATCTTTGTGTTTGACGTATAGTGCTTCTGGGTAATTTAATATCAATATCAAAATCAGTCATGACAGTCTTACTTTCTTCAAAAATATTATGAAATATATTTTCACAATTTGTACGTTCGTTCTCTATTGTTGTTATAATGCCATTTATACAATTATATGCATCAGCTATGTCAAATTCTACCTTTTGTAACAGTTTACTTGCTGCTGAAGTAATTGATAAAACTTTAGAAAGTGTAAAAAGTGTAATAACAAACTCACAATTGCAATTTAAGTTAGATTGAAATTCAAAAATAGAATTGTGTCGTTCCATCCATCTAGTTTCACACAATGATGTTAATGATCTTTTACAGCCGTTTAATGTATTTTTTAACAAAAAATTTCCATTTGACGATTGATTAAAAAATGACAAAACTTGTTGGATAGTATCCATAATATTTCTAACAAATTGCACGTTGAATGACTTGGATATGGATAAATTTAACGCATGATTGGAACATGGGCTATGGACAGCATTTTTACAACTTTTTTGAATTTGCTGCATTTCTTTTAATTTATCAACAACAATATTACCTAATGATTCCCCTGATAATTTTGGCTCTATTACATTATGCCCAGAATCATCTTTCATAAAATTTTCCGAGTTACCATTTCTTAAAATCAAACTCATTAGAGTAGTATGCGATATGTCAGTAATTTCATCAAATATTATGCTATAATATTTGCTTACTTTTACATTCTCCAAAATATTATATATAATTTCATCTTTGAAGCAACTAATAATGTTTTCTTATGTGGTATGAGATATATCAGCAATTTTAGAAGTGGTGGTTTGTAGATGGTTAGTAAATAGATACCAACTAAATAATGTACAATCAAAAAAAAAAAACGATAGGTACGTATTTCATTGTTTTATATTTATTTAGCTAACATCATTTAACGCGAGGTTTAGCAGTTACTAGTTACTATACAATATTAATGAAAATAGTAATTCGTACTTACTGAATATAATAATATAAAACCAAAAAAAGCTGTCTACTTAGCTGTATTTGGTGTGGACCGTGTGGCGAATATAAATTATAGACTTTACTACTTTAGTAGGGAGAGTGCGGCAAGTTAGTGATGTTAAGGTTCTATTTTATTTTTTAAATTTTGTCATCTTGCCCCATGGTTGGGGTAAGTTGACTTTGTGCCGGGGCAACTTGACTATATCTATTAGAAATAAGTTTCATTACTTTAAAAAGTTTTAATATCTACCAAATGACATATTATAATACTTAATTCTAGTGGATCTATTTTTTATATTGGTTTTTATAATTTTACAGTCTAAAAATAAGTTTTCAGTGCTAATAAAATAAGAATAACATAATATAAGTACCCATGWAGGTAAATACATCTTTAATAAAATCAAAACAATTTTCATACCTTAAAAATAAATGAATTCAGCAATTTAAAAACAACTTGTTTTAGGTACTACCTATACCTATTTAATAAAACTGAATATATTAATATAAAATAAAACATCTTTAACAAAATCAAAATAACTTTTAGGATACACTCTTCTTCTGCTGAATCTTCATCATTTGTATTAAAATATTTTGGTTCTTCTTCATCTGATAAAGATCTAGCAGAATTTTTCTTGGACGCACATTTGTCTTTGAATAATTTTTTTTACTATTTTTTTTTTTTTTTATTAAAGCTTTTTCTTTTTAAATTTTTTGTTTAATTATTCTTACCTCTTTTCTTGTTTTTTTGGCCTGAATTAAATCTTCTTTCAATTTTTTATTTTCTTCTAAATGTAATTTTACAGGAGAACTGGCCAATATCATAGATGGTAATTTACTTCTTGCCCTTTTAGGAATTTTAATTGGTGCTACAGGAAGTTCTGGATATTTAAATGTTGCAGGTTGACACATATTTGGTTCAACATTTTCAGGAACTACTATATTATTTCATATTTGTATATATTAGTTAGATCATCCTGATTTACAACTAAAATGTCAGGTTCAATTAGTTCATTTTGAGTAGGTATGTTTTCCAAAACATTTGCAAATTCATGTGTTTGACATAGTTTCTGACCATTTTAACAGCAAGTAAAACTAAACAATTATGTATACTAGTATACTCATTTATAGGTATAGGTAGATTTTATGAACATTTTAATACATATTAATATATTATTTATACACATTTAGTTGAAATCGCAGTCATAAAAGCTGGAAAAGGTAACAACCAGGTGGAGGCTAAAATCGCCAAGGGAAGGGAGTAAGACGAGGGTGCAATCTATCACCTACTTTATTTMAAATAGAATAAGTCTGGACACCAGGAAAACACTAATAAAAAGATTTGTGTGGAGCGTAGCTCTATATGGAGCAGAGACTTGGACAATAATGAAGGCTGAGAAAGCCAAAATAAAAGCCTTTGAAGTATGGTGTTGGAKAAGAGCGCTAAAAATTTCATGGACGGAAAAGGTAWAAAATGATGAGGTTTTCAGGAGAATGAATACCCAAAAATCAATATGGAATACGCTAAGACTGAGAAGGAAAGGATGGATCGGACACGTAATAAGGAATAGTCCTTGGATAATAGGGTGGTCTTTCACTATAGGTAGATGAAAAAAAAAAATCAAAAATGTTTTCATCTCACCCCCTTAAACAGTGTACATACATAAAAAAAATAACTACATGAAATATTGAATCAATCAAACAAAGTTAACCCGTGCCTATTTGAACTTAATGTTTGAACTTTTACAATTTTTCAAAATTTTGTACTTATATCATAAACCGTTGATCAAATTGAAATTTATTATAGATACTAAATTAATTAAAACTACATTTACGAACATATTTGTTCTATAATTTTTTTAATATCTTCAATTGTTGGTGAAATATATTGTTCCATAGTATAAAAACTGTGTTTTTTTTTACTTTTCCATGAATATATTTAAAACTAAAAATGTTAACACATTGTATCTAAAATAAAATGTTGTACGAGTACATAAAAATTGTATAATGAACTTAAACTGATAAAATTTTTTTTAATAGTTAATAATATTTAATAACATAATATTATTGTAGTGTCGATTTGTTACCGTCAGGATACTTAATTTTATAATTTTTTACTATTTGTTGTAGCCTGTAGGTACTGTTTTTGTTCTTCATCTTTAGTTAAAATGCTGTTATATTCTTCAATTASCTTCACTCCTCTTTCTGCCGTATCATTAACAACATTAATATGAGTTACAGTATTTGCTCCATCATTATACGCAGTGTTGTTAATCCATTCATCTGGTTCATCATTTAAAAAATTTGTGTCAATACCGAACGTTCAAAAAATATTTTTGTATTTTTCGTTACAAAATGACTAAAATCTTTTGTAACTAAAGATGAAACTTCATGAGGTTTAATTGATATTTTTTTTACTATTTCATATGAGCCATCGTTTGAAGTTAAAGCTTTAACCATCTTTTTTTTTAAATCAGCAGATACATTTTTATCAAAAAATGAAAAACCTATTGCTTCATCAGACAAATACCATAAATGTCCACAGAATTTTTTTAGAATTGTTTTTGAAACATCTGAKTCATAATAGTTATATAGGTRCATCTTTAATAAAATTAAAATCTTGGTATGGTGCTGTTGCAGCATTTGGAGCCCCAAACCACGCTTTCACGTAAAGATGATTCAAAAATATACGTACGTATGTCCCTTAACCCGATTTCCTCTTTTATATTTAAATGAAACTGATCTCTAAATAAATATATTTTTAATGAGTATAACGCTTTTGCCATCCACCTAGCGTGATGAATAGCACCAGGTTTTTTTATAGTGATTTCATCAGATGGGCATCCTCCGAGAAAAATTAATATTAATTCTATTAACTCTTTGTAGTCATCTCTGTAATGATTTTTTTGTAGTTGTTGCGTACAAAATTCTATTATATCGTTACTTACGTTCATAATTTTTAATTGTATATCATTGTTTGAGGTACCAATTGTTAATTTTTTTTTGAGTCTAGTTTTTCCCAAGCTTGCTGGAATCGTTTAAACAGCATAATATCTGGACCCGAAAAACTGGTCATCTTCAATTCAAATATTGATTGTAAGTTAGACGTCTATGATGACGACGTGGCAAATAAAGAAGGCTTTTATTTAGTAATTTTTCCAAAATAATACAAGCCCYATTTATTCTGCCTGTATTAGAAGCCGTAGYGTCACAGCACAGTGCATTCACGCGTTTGGATAAGTCCCAATTGTTTAATAATTCGTACACAGCATTTGCCATATTTTGACCAGTACCGGAATCTAATTTTGGAACTCCGATTAATTGTTCCGAGTCTTGCAATGTTACTATAACTGGAAGTCGATCATGTTGAATAAATTTACTTGTAGGCAAAAGTTTACCATCCCAATGAACTACAATGACTTTAGAATTTGTTTGGAAATCTTCTTTCAATTTAACTTATTGTAAAACACCTATATTGTGTTTTTTGGACACACAAAGATAATAATAATTTTTGAATTACTTACAGATCAAATTCATAATTATCATCCAGACAAAGATATTGATCAACATATTTGAATTGATCTTTAAAATGCAAAAAACATCTTTTTACTAAATGGTAATATATAATTCCATTTCTAACAATGACACTATTCTTATATTTTTTCAAAATGTTGATAAACCTAATTAATTTCTGCAATTTGCAACATTCAATGTGCAAACTTAAGACATTTTTAAATCCATTTAAACAATATTGAAAGCCATCTCTGTAAATATTTGAATTGTAAATACAGATTAATACTCACAATTCATTATATGCAAATTTGTTTAATTGATCATCTGTGTCGTAATTTGTAAGCATATATTCGATCATTTTTTTAAACTCATTTTGATTTTGTATGGAATGAGTTTTAATATAATTTAATAATCCCAATGGCATTTTGTTTGAATTTACTAGTTCGATCTTACGTTCAATTCTCTTGCTCATTTTATACACAATATGTAATTCATCAYACTCAATATTTTTATCAGGATAACTATTTAATAAGTTTAAGTATTAAATTAATAGTGCACAGTGAATTATTTTATGTAGTGTGATTATGTTAAAGGTTACTTATGAATTTCATATAATTGTAATAAATTGTTCATTTGCACACTGTTCAATTTATTTTTTGTGTCTTGAATAGCAACCTTTTTATTATTTTTGCTCTTCTCTTTAAATTTAGGCTGTTCACTAATATAATCATTACCCAGATGATTAATGTCTTTGATCATTGGATTACTAATTATGAAGTTGAATAAATTATAAATTTCATCATCTAATTTAAACATTATTATTTTCTTGTCCAATATATTCGTTTGGATTACACACACTTCATTACTATTCAAATATTTATCTACATTTGATGATGGCCAAAACATTTTAAAATTAATGATAAACTCTCAATATTTAAGGTGATTGGACCAGCAGTTTAATATTATATAAAACCATTGGAAATAAATTCTATACATTTAAGGATCGCTGACGAAACCTTTATTGAGACATCCTAGGAAGATAGAAGAAAAAAAA